CTCGCTTCGATGGCCGCCTATACAGCGGTTATCTCTTCCCCCAATCTTCTCCACTCAGACATAAGACAAGCAAATGGTTTGTGACTCTCGAGGAATATCCGTATTCCTTATATCCTCCGTACATAACGGCCGGTGCTTTCGTATTGTCCAACACATCGCTAATAGACATGTATTTCGCTTCCTTTTACACAAAACACTTTCGTTTTGATGACATTTATGTGGGAATATTGGCAAAGAAGTTGTCTATTATTCCCAAACATAACCCGAACTTTCATTTCTGGACTCTAAGCTATAGTGCCGTCACTTTCGAGGACGTGATTGCTTCCCATGGCTTTCGGGATTCAAACAAACTTCTCATTTCTTGGAGCCAACAGAAGAGTTTAGGATTCGCTTAGAATTAGATCTGATTTTTAGATTCAGTTTCCATTGCCTTCACGCCTATGAATGCAATTGTTTTATACATTAGAAAATCAATTTTATTTATACAATAATAGATCTGATATTTAAGTCGATAGCAAATAAATTAACTTTATTAATTAACTATGAAATCAAGTCATAAATTTTACGTTTATTTTAATATATAAATAAAAATGAATAAAATATTAAGTTTGTGATTATTGTAGTATTTTCTGTACAAGTATTAGAAATTGTAATTTAAATGTACTGCAGTTTGATTGCATAACACAATTGTAAATACAATGAATAAAAAGCAATAAACACGGACTGAAAGACCAAACAAATGAAGTGTTTTCTGAATGGCATTCAATTTAAATATAAACTTAATTATTGGGAACAGTAGTACAGAATCCTGAAGAATATCCGCAAACTATGAATGAAAAGTGAATTGATTTGAAAGAATGAGTCATTCGGTGACATCTGTTGAGAGAAAGCACTTCACATATGATAACGTGTTTTGGTTTTGTTTATGATTTGGTTGTTTGATGTGAAAAGTGGTTGAATGGACCGACAGGACCGACACCACCGAAGAGGTGGAAGACATGACAGGGAGAGGTCTCCGCACGAAGAGTCCAAACTGTCTTTACATGAGTTGAGAGATCGCGCCAAACGTGAACAGAGAGATGGCCGACACGGACACAGACACACCACTGATGGCCACAGACATGACGGCCAACGACCCGAACGCCACTTCGATGACCACAACAGACGCCCCAGAGATAGGGATTACGACAGAAGACGTGACGACAACTATGAATCCAACGACAGGAATAGGGATTCATTGAAACGAAACGATGAGTTTTGGTCCAAAGAGTCGAAAGAGAAGACGAGAAGTGATGACAAAAGTGATGACAAAAGTGTGGTAAAAGAGAAGGAGAAGCCGAACCTCTTGACGACCGGGAAGTTGGCTGAAGACACGAACACATTCAACGGCGTTGTCATCAAATACAACGAACCGCCCGAAGCGCGCAAACCGAAGAGGAGATGGCGTTTGTATCCATTCAAAGGGGAACAGTCTCTGGACTTCATACCAGTGCACCGACAGAGCGCTTACCTCTTGGGTAGAGACCGGAAGGTGGCCGACATTCCCATTGATCACCCGAGTTGTTCCAAACAGCATTCGGTGCTCCAGTTCCGGCTCATTGAATACAAACGAGAGGACGAGTCGGTGGGCAAACGGCTCAGACCTTACATCATAGATCTCGAGTCCTCTAACGGCACGTATGTTAATAACCAGAGGATTGACTCCAAGTGTTATTACGAACTCTTCGAGAAGGATGTCATCAAATTCGGCTTCAGTTCCCGAGAGTATGTCGTTCTTCACGAGCTATCAAAGGATGAATCCGAAGACGACGACGTTATCGCTGAAGAAACTACTGTTAAAAGTGAACCAAAAGACTGAAACATTTGTTTATTTCATTTCACATCTTTGCTATCAATTGAATGTCTAATATATATGGTTCAAGTAGTGATCACTTACCCATTGGTTTAATTGTTTATAATACTGCTCATAAACTAATCATTCATTGTATTCATGTACTGTATATTAAAATTGAATGTTTACAGTACTGTATATGAATTTGTTACTCATTTTGTCATAACTTCCGTTTGAATTAGTTTTTGTGAAAACAAATATCATACATAATCAAGATATTGACCGTAATAAAAATACTTTTTATTTGTATGAAATGAATATTATATTTTAGAAAATTAAAATAAAAACAAAACTTTATGTAAGAAGTGATTGATTTTGAGACCAAAACTCCTCTTTAATTACATCAATATAACTGACACTAAGATAGGAATTGATGTCAATGTCCTCTTCATCTCCTTTTACATCCAAACTCTTCTTCTTTTTCTTATTCTTAGAGACAATACTTTGCATCAATTGTTGGCTAATATCCAACACAATAACTGATCCCTTCTTAAACTGTTGTAATTCGTTATTATAATTAATGCCATATTCTGTGAACAGAATCTCATGTTTATCGGAACTTATAGTTTTGGACAGCCTTTCGGTCGCCTCTCTGGGTGTCAAAGGGAGGGGTGGGTCAGCGCCAGCACTTTGGGTCCAATTGGGGGTAAAAGTGTATGAATTGTCGGTAGAGTTGAGCACATATTTGGTGTAATGACCGGTGAGGGCATGGAATGTGGTGTTATAGAGGTTATTGATATGACAGTCCACTTGACGCCATCGGAGGTAATCCATCACCACTTTGGAGTTCGGGTAAAGAATACATCGGCCGTCGAAAGCAGGCGGGTATTGGAGTGGAACTGATTGGTGACAAAGAGGTTATTGATATGACAGTCCACTTGACGCCATCGGAGGTAATCCATCACCACTTTGGAGTTCGGGTAAAGAATACATCGGCCGTCGAAAGCAGGCGGGTATTGGAGTGGAACTGATTGGTGACAAGCATTCTGTGGTTGATTAGAGAAATATTGGGACCAATAGAAGACAAACGCGGAGCTGAATGAAGAGACGATAAGAGATGTGATCTTATTTTGTCTTCGTTTGTATAGATCAGACACCCGACGGATAATGAAACTGAATTCATCGCTTTGGCCTGCGATGGGATCAATAGATTAGTTCACTCGTGAGTGATATATCATGTCATACCGTAAGCCATGACTATATTGGGAAAGAAGGCTCGCATCACATGTTTGGCCGATTCGTTCATTAGATCCAAACAACTGTTCAACAGATGAATGCATTAACAGTAAATACATATAAAGACAATCTGAAGACATGTGAGACAAACCGTTTGTCATTAGGTTTGAAGAGATCGTGACATTTGCTAAACTTATGAAACTTGTGTCCATCGACTCGCACCACAATATAGCAGTCCTTCAGTAGGACATTGTCTGTGGACTCTTCGTATGTGCGGACGTATTCATACTTGGATTGAGACATCTTATGATCACTGTATTTGGTGCCCAAGTGGTGTGAATAATGTAAATGACAGACAAACAGCTGATTGTGATTTAAATAATGAGTTTGTTTGAGAAAACTCGTGATAGTGTTGACAAACATCTGATGTAACATTGAGTTGACATGTGAACAGAGTTTACGTAACCTTATGTCCACTGATTCACAATACAATTAATTTGCACTTTCATTGCTATTAAGCCCAATATTTGACAAACGATTGCATTTAATCAATGTGTTATTATTATATTTAATTAATATCGTGACGAAAATAGCTATTTAAGTGATTTATTTGAACTTAACATTTAATAAGTTATCAATTTGTAGACATAATTACTGGCAAACAGTATGAAACACATTGACTGATTGCATACTTGGTAAACATATCCTAAGAAAGCATTTAAAGTTGATTTAAAAATTGAGTTTTTATTTCAAATGACAGTCAATTGTTTGAAATAGTAGTCGACAATCAAGTGCTCAGTCAAGTCGATGGACTCAATCCCATCGGTGGTCAAAGAGGCGGTTCTCGTCAAAAGCAGACCCAAAGGCAATAGTAATGACAACTCAATTGAAGACAACGGAAGGCAGACATCGATTCTGGACTCATATCCCTGAGTTCACTTCCCGATACTGAAGTTGGTTCCCTAGTTAGTGAGCCGTGAGGAAGTCTGTATAGACTGGTGACCAAAGGTTCGCTGGTCAAAACCCGAAAGACAGGTTGTTTAACTCAGTTACCATTGACATTGAGACTAACTTTCTGGAGATAATTGCAGTAATAATTGGTTTGAATAACAGCTTAAGTGTCGAGACGAGCCGTACGAAGAGGACCTCTTAGAAAGTGATGCATTCATCCGCCGAAAGAGCGGATGTACTATATTTCTGGGCTATACTTCTAATATGATCTCAAGTGGTGTGAGGGATACCATTAGATTTCTGGTTCAGCACAGAATGGTATACTTTTGTCTCGTTTTGTATGTCATTTCAATTGACATTCATTGGTTGGACTCATCTGTAGATCGACTGCATTGTGACCACTGCTGGCGGTGTAGAGGAAGACATAATCAAATGCTTGGGGCAGACATTTGTGGCCGACTTCAACATAAGTGGCGCTAAATTACGAGATGAGGGCATCAATAGAATCGGGAATCTATTGGTTCCCAACGATAATTACTGTAAGTTTGAGAACTGGGTTCAACCGGTTCTCAATCAGATGTTGAGTGAACAGAAGGACAGCCAACAGATTTGGTCGCCGTCTAAGATAATCACGCGTTTGGGAGAGAAGATCAATAACGAGGAGTCGATCCTGTATTGGGCCGCAAGGAATCACATTCCGGTGTTCTGTCCGGCGCTCACCGATGGCTCGTTGGGTGATATGATTTACTTCCATACCTTTCGAAATCCCGGTCTCGTCATCGATATTGTTCAGGGTTCGAGTCATTCACACAATTCTATTGAGGATTCATTTAATGGTGAGCTCTTTGAACAGATATTCGAAGAATCAATACAATGGCTGTGAAGGCCCGCAAGTCAGGAATGGTTATATTGGGCGGCGGTTTAGTCAAACATCACATCTGTAACGCAAACTTAATGGTATAGTCCACTCATTCTCTATATTCAACATTACATATGGATTTTATTTACAACTTTCAATACAAATATCACAAAAGCATTCATTTAATGACTAATTATTATCATTGCATTTAATAGCGAAACGGCGCCGACTTTTCTGTCTTCATAAACACGGCCAATGAGTTCGATGGCAGCGATGCCGGCGCCCGACCTGACGAAGCCGTTTCGTGGGGTAAGATTAAGAGAGAGGCAAAACCGGTCAAAATATACGCCGACGCGTCCCTTATATTCCCACTACTGGTGGCCGAAACGTTCGCCAGATATCATCACTACAGGTGTGCTAAAGACATGCCTTTTGTTGAGAATATATGAATTAAACGACTGTTTTGTTTGTTTTATTTGATTATTTCTCCGCTTTTCTTAAGTGTTTCCAAAAAGATTTCATGATCTGAGAGCGCCGTCGGGTCACTCAATACAGGGGACAGGGGTTCGAAGAATTGGGGTTTTAATAGCTGTTCACATGTCTGTATATTATCGATGATGTGTTCACACGTCCAGTGTTTCAATAATAAAGAGTTCTCGACAGTGAAGGGACCGTAACGTATGACTCGCAGTCGAGTACACATCGCACTGGTCCTCAGCTTAAGTCCGATCTCATGGATGAGTCCGACCAGGAATTCGTCGAATTCGTTGATACACTGGACTTCGAGTGTGAAGTCGGGCGAAGAGAAGTCCGTCAAACGGATGCCGTATATGACAGGCGTTGTCTTGCGAATGGCGGGTCTGATCATCCCTTTGGCCGCCATTTCGTACGCCTCTTCGCTCTTGAGGTCCACTCCCATTGTCTTAAACATAAGCGTCTGATGCGATGCTTGTATTTTGCTGATCACTCGTCCGATGTGGACATCAGTCACGTGTTTAAACCGCGACTTCTCTACTATGCGTCCATCGGATCGGAAATTATTGGTCGCGAAACCGAATCGGCCTTTGATTTCATAAACTCTCAAATGCTGTCCCCTCTGGAAGTCATACATCTTTTTGGCCGCTTTTCCGATGAATGCGATGACAACACCGGACGCGAAGAAACCCGGATTATTGGCGATTGTGAGCGAAATGTCTTGCGGTTGGTATCGTTGGCCCACAACCAGAGGGTTGTCCGCAAAACTGGGTTTCGTCTCAACCGTCAGACTCTCGCCACTCGACAGTTGACCGGAGATGTGGACCAACTCTCTTGCGGGCCGACACTCCATGGCATTGAGATCTGTATGTAAAGTGAGATTGTGGTCAACATTGAGACACAGAGCGTCACACAAGAGGTATACCATCGCAGAGTTTGGATAGTAATGACCTGCGAGTGGATTGAATGGACTTATTGTGCGGTTTATAGACACAGAAGACACCATTCAATAGCCGCCAGACATACGGCGCGTAACGGAACTCATATAAAGGCATTGAAGGGACCGATAGGCTGGACACCACTTCACTGTCTGTCCATTCAATACACGATTAAGTCATACAAACATAAACACGTGATTTTCAGTGTAAACAATATTATTAATACAGTATAACTCACATATAGTTTACAGTTATGTCGAGAACTTGTCTTACAGTATAAAGTATATAGTAATAACAATTCACACATTAGACTTAATAGTAAAATTATGTGAAATAATTTATATTACAAAAATGTTTTAATAATAAACCAAACGATAATTGAACTAAATTATAAAAATAGTTAATTATTAATAGTATACTCAGTATACACTACTATACAGTATACACTACTATACAGTATACACTACTATACTCAGTATACTATACTGTATGAAATGTTATCATTTATGGCTTTAACTGTATAACAACACATACACCACAGTAACCAATGGGAGACTAGTATTGAGAGCGCGAGCCAATGGATGCAAAGCTTACGAAACATTTATATGCATTAAAAGGCGTTAAAAAACTTTCAAACGTTTCATTGAAAACACAACGAATTGAATGACTGTTTGATTGACTGTTCACTAGATTTGCAGATATTTTGTCATTTGTTTGTCATTTCACTGAAGAGTTATTCAAAGTGTGAATCAATTCATTGCATTGAATCTGTTTCGAGACTTTAAGTCTTGAGATATTATCACCAAATGAGTGATAATATGAACCAAACGTACGATAAGAAGAAGCAGTCGTTCGCGTGGTTTACCTTCGAGGACAACGCCAGCGAAGACACTGTGGACACCACTGTCACCAACAAGACTGTGGTTAAGACCAGAAGTGGTGAGTCGTGTGGATTGAGTTGGATTCCCATCGAAGACGACAACGACATCGAGAATGAGAACAAAGAGACGGCGCCCAAGAAGTCGGTCAAGACTTATGGCTTGAATTGGATCCCTTTCGGTGAGAACTCAGTGAATGTGGTTCCGGACCACACCTTCTCTGTGCCCCACAGACTGCCGCCGAAGCTCACGAAGAAGATGACACCATCGAAGGTAACGCCCGCCAGAAGACCATCGCCTGAGAAGTCACTGCGAAGACAGACATTCAGAGTGACGCCTAAATCGAGGGTTCAGTTGCCGCTCATCGCCGCCAACACCACAACCACTACGAAGAAGAAGAGACGGTCGAGCGGTTCGAGTGGCGCCTCTTTCGCCGCTCTAATGACTCCCAAAAACAAGTCATCTTTGAAGTCGTTCGCCACAACGCCCTCCTCTGCGGCCAAGTCTTGCTATGGCGTCGAAGAGATTCAATACATGTCTTGGATTAACGTTATGTTAGCGCCGAAAGAGGACGAGAGGAAGGAATCGAAAGTGGATTCAAACCAATTGATTATCGATTGCTTCAATTCATCGAAAGTCAGTCTCTCTGTGTGTCCGACCAAAGAGGAAGTGTCGGCACAAACCTATAGGGAAGCCGTCAAATGGAATCAATTGAGGAGTTGTGCGACAGCTCTGTATCGATCCAAAGATGTGATGAAAATCAACCAAAAGATTGTGTCCGACATTCGCAAAGATAAGTACGGCGTCCGCAAAGACCGCGCCATTCATGCGGACGTCGGAGTCCGGAAACACATCTTAGATCTGTTGCTGTCATATAATCCTCTGTGGCTTCGGATCGGTTTGGAAACGATATATAACCAGAAGATTGAGATCACGTCCAACTCTATGACACAAATGAGACTAACTTTAGGCAAATTCATTGCACAAAACCTGTTGGAGTCGAAGGAATTGATGGCTAAATACGGACACAAGACTATCACCCACTTCTTCAAAGATGACATCCATGTACTCGAAGCCAAACAATACATTTTGATTCGTTTCCTCCATTTACTCAACTTCTTGGATGCGGCCAAACAGATGCGACTCATTCAACACAATCCCTGTCTCTTCCGTCTGAGCGCTCACTACAAGTCGACTCTCGATCTCATCATATCTTTCGCTCGCGATTACATCACAGGTGTCGGAGATATCACGAAATACCTGAAGAGCTGCGGCTTTTCTATCGCTTACAGACAGACGCCTATCGAGGAGTTCGACTTCGAGGCCACGAATTTGGCCACAGATTTGCGATGCGGTATAAGACTGGCCCGACTCGCGGAACTGACCACTGATAGCAGACAACTCTTACCTAAACTGCTATTTCCCGCCAATAATATCACTCGAAAGCTTCACAACGTTGAAGTGGCGCTCAAAGCCTTCAAAGCCATTGTTCCCGAAGGCATTGTCGCCAAAGATATAGTCAGCGGACACCGGAAGAAGACATTCGAGTTATTGGACGCCATTATATTCAAACACAAAACCGATCTAATCTTATTTGAAGAGCAAGTGTACGACCAGTCGGTTGTCTTCATTCAGCGCCTCTTTAGAGCTAATCGTCTCATGAAAGCCGAGAAACAAAAGTTTGAAACTTTGAGATATTATACGGTTTTAGTTCAGAGAAGGTTTCGGCAAAACTTGAATAATATTCGCGACAATCGACTCATGAGGGAAGAGAAGCTAAGATACGAAACCTTAAAGTCTTCAACGGTTTTGTGTCAGCGATTGTTCCGCGCAAAGAGACTCATGAGAATAGAGACACAAAATTATCAAACACTGAAGTCTTCGGCAATTGTTTGTCAACGACTTTTCCGCGCGAACCAACTCATGAGAGTCGAGAAACAAAAGTACGAAACTTTAAAGTCTTCAACGATCTACTGTCAGCGACTGTTCCGCGCCAACCGACTCATGAGAGAAAAGAAACTAAGATTTGAAGCCATAAAGTCTTCAGCAGTTTTGTGTCAGAGATTGTTCCGCGCGAAGAGACTCATGAATACTGAGAGACAAAAGTATCAGACTCTGAGGTCTTCGGTAATTGTTTGTCAGGAACTCTTCCGCGCCAATCAACTCATGAAAATCAAGAAACAAAAGTATCAAACACTGAGAACTTCAGTAATCGTTTGTCAGCGACTCTTCCGCGCCAACCATCTCATGAGAGTTGAGAAACAAAACTATCAAACACTGAGGTCTTCGGTAATTGTTTGTCAGCGGGTTTTCCGCGCCAATCAACTCATGAGAATCGAGAAACAAAAGTATCAAACGCTGAGAACTTCGGTAATCGTTTGTCAAGAACTCTTCCTCGCCAATCGTCTCATGAGGATTGAGAGACAAAAGTATCAAACACTGAGGTCTTCAGCAATTGTTTGTCAACAGCTGTTCCGCGCGACTAGACTCATGAGAATAGAGACACAAATATATCATACACTGAGGTCTTCAGCAATTGTTTGTCAGCAACTGTTCCGCGCCAATCGTCTCATGAGGATTGAAAGACAAAAGTATGAAACACTGAAATCTTCGGCAATTGTTTGTCAACGACTTTTCCGCGCGAACCAACTCATGAGAGTCGAGAAACAAAAGTACGAGACTTTTAAGTCTTCAACGATTTACTGTCAGCGACTGTTCCGCGCCAACCGACTCATGAGAGAAGAGAAACTAAGATTTGAAGCCATAAAGTCTTCAGCAGTTTTGTGTCAGAGATTGTTCCGCGCAAAGAGACTCATGAATACTGAGCGACAAAAGTATCAAACACTGAGATCTTCGGTAATTGTTTGTCAACAGCTGTTCCGTGCGAAGAGACTCATGAGAATAGAGACACAAATATATCATACACTGAGAACTTCGGTAATCGTTTGTCAACAGCTGTTCCGCGCCAATCGTCTCATGAGGATTGAGAGACAAAAGTATCAAACATTGAGATCTTCAGCAATTGTTTGTCAACAGCTGTTCCGTGCAAAGAGACTCATGAGAGTTGAGACACAAAAATATCAAACACTGAGATCTTCGGTAATTGTTTGTCAACAGCTGTTCCGCGCGATGAGACTCATGAGAGTTGAAAAACAAAAGTATCAAACACTGAGATCTTCGGTAATTGTTTGTCAACAGCTGTTCCGCGCGAAGAGTCTCATGAAGATTGAGAGACAAAAGTATCAAACATTGAGGTCTTCAGCAATTGTTTGTCAACAGCTGTTCCGTGCAAAGAGACTCATGAATACTGAGAGACAAAAGTATCAGACTCTGAGGTCTTCGGTAATTGTTTGTCAGGAACTCTTCCGCGCCAATCAACTCATGAAAATCGAGAAACAAAAGTATCAAACACTGAGAACTTCAGTAATCGTTTGTCAGCGACTCTTCCGCGCCAACCATCTCATGAGAGTTGAGAAACAAAACTATCAAACACTGAGGTCTTCGGTAATTGTTTGTCAAAGAAACAAAAGTATCAAACACTGAGAACTTCAGTAATCGTTTGTCAGCGACTCTTCCGCGCCAACCATCTCATGAGAGTTGAGAAACAAAACTATCAAACACTGAGGTCTTCGGTAATTGTTTGTCAGCGGGTTCTCCGCGCCAATCGTCTCATGAGAATTGAGAGACAAAAGTATCAAACACTGAGGTCTTCAGCAATTGTTTGTCAACAGCTGTTCCGCGCCAATCATCTCATGAGGATTGAGAGACAAAAGTATCAAACATTGAGGTCTTCAGCCATTGTTTTTCAACAGTTGTTCCGCGCAAAGAGACTCATGAGAGTTGAGAAACAAAAATATCAAACACTGAGGTCTTCAGCAATTGTTTGTCAACAGCTGTTCCGTGCAAAGAGACTCATGAGACTTGAGAAACAAAAGTTTAATAAATTGAGAGTTTATACGATTTTAATTCAACGAAGATTTCGATCAAACTTTAAGGACATCCGGGAGAGAAGGGCTGCCATCAAAATACAGGTATTTTATGACTAATTCATTGCAAATTACAGTATAAACTAATGTGAGACCCATTGCTGACAGTCGTTATGGAGAGGATATACGACTCGAAAACGCATTCACGAGGAGAACGAGAAGATTGAGAAAGCCTTCCAACGGATACTGACATCGACTTCATTGGCCACCGAAGACATGCAATTAGGAAACCGAACGCATAATGCACTCCAGAAACTGCTGTCTTATGAATCACTACTACTTTTGGCCCACGATTTGGAGGCATTGGATCGCACGACACGACTGTCACCGGAATCGTGTGAAACACTTGTCTATTACGATGCCATCAGAATCCTTCTTCAGATCCTCAATGAGATGAATCACTACTACTTTTGGCCCACGATTTGGAGGCATTGGATCGCACGACACGACTGTCACCGGAATCGTGTGAAACACTTGTCTATTACGATGCCATCAGAATCCTTCTTCAGATCCTCAATGAGTCCAATCGTAGCGAACCTCACAAACAGATCATTGCTCTCACCGTTAATATTCTCCTAAATATCGCCAAAGTATGTCTCAAATCATTGGCTATTCATTCATTTCATTACTAATCTATTGTTTGTTGTTTTATAGTACGACAAAACGTGTCAGAATTTAGTTTCAAATCCAAAAACAATTGAAACGTTATTCAAAATCATCAAAAGTTTTGGTCGAAATTCTCCTCAACTTATTGGCAAATGTTTTACGCTTTTATATATTCTAATGGATGACCAAACCTTTTCTGATGTAATTTTTACAGTGTTTTTGTTAAATAATTCTTGAAATTAATGTTTACTTTGTTAACAGAACGTAAAGAAAGATAAGCGCAAAGTGGAGGCAATCAAACAGATTAGCGATCACTCGATGAAAGACAAGTCATTCAAGAAATACAAACTGAGAACTAATTACAAGTTTTGTCCGAATTGGCAAATCGGTAGAAGAAATGTCTATGAATTCGATAACCATTTCATTGCTATACAAGTGATCATTCGTCGGCTCAACATATAATAATAATTGGGTTTTTAATATGTTTTTTAAATTGCATAATATGATAAATGTCTGTATTTTAATCCTATACTAATTTATACCGTATTTTATGAAAACAACTTCACATTTTACACAATAATTATTCAATAATAAACTCTTTTTATATTTTATTAATAAAATATGAATATTGCATTTTAAATCAGATCTAATTTTATAATGGGCTCTATTTTATATAATCAAAATTTATATTCTTATAACTACTGTATTCATTCAAAAGTTATATAAGCTTAAATTGTGCATAAAAGATCTAGCTGATAAAATTCTGTTTAAATGTTTGCCAATCATTTCCATTATACGACACTATCTACTGAATAGTATCGGCAATACGCTTACAAATCTCGAGATCGCATATTCTGTTTGGTCACAACAACCGGTTCCCTCCAAAGCACCGGAGCTCTGGACAACAAACTAATTGTTGCGACACTTGAGATACAAACAAATATTCTGTAATTTAATCAATAAGTTAGTTATGGCATCAAATGTCACAAATCCAGAGAAAATAACTGACATAATCATCGGAATAATGTGAATATTTAGTGCTATATATTTGTTTGCACTGTTGGTCAGCAGTAATCTTAATACCCGGATAACGGGCAGCCGTGCGGGTCATATCCAAAGCCTCGTTTAATGGGTTCGCTTCCGTTGACATACATATGATTTGACGACCACTTGACACATGTATTCAATTAGTTATTTAGATCTCAAATGATATCAAATGCTATTATTATAAACATTACAGAGACTCCACATAAGGAAGTGGAGAGATGTTGAGAGATGTTGTTTAAACTGTTTGACACTACAGACGGACCAAGTCGTGCGACTAATGCCTAGATTTTGAGACATTATGAATCCATTCTCATCGCACTCTTTGGTCTCGGAGTCGACACTTCCGTCGTGATCGGCACCCAAACTGTTAGCAAAAAAAGGATAATTCATTTGTCTATAAATGTTAGTAAGACATTATTCTATCAACTTTGCCTTAGGTGTAGATATCAATATAAATTACAACCAGTTGTTTAGATTTGTTTTCTAAAGTTATACTTAAACTGATAGAGAAATATAATTATAATTTATGAGAAATAAGTGAAAAGTCCTACAAATGTCGGAATTCGTGGACTAGTGTTCGGATGAATACCCGTCGATGTGCTCCACTTTAGCACATCTGTCATTGTCTGCGCCCAGGGTTTCCGTATACGCCATTCCCGACTACATTTGTTTCAACTTTTCCATCACCATATGTCCATAGGTTGGAACTGAGCAGGGTATAGCATTTATTAATTAATATGCATTTATTAGAAGAATTCAATAGCCACCGGTAAATAATACGTCAAAATTTGCATCATTTTGTCTCTCAGCCCACCGACAGAAGTGTCTTAAATATGAAGTGGCGTTCCAGTGAGTGGTGTCCTCAAAGGGGCCGATCGAAAAGTGGGTGACAACCAGTGTAATGCGAATGAACAAGGCCACATTCATTTGATTTAATCACTTCTGAAGGTATGCCAAATGAATGGCAGCGAACTCTTGGGCCAAATGTATGTTCTCTTTGAATCTGTATTTGAATAACCGATCGATTGAAACGGAGATCCGAAGAGTTGAATGACTGAAATAAACGGATGACAAGTCGTCCTCCACTTTGTTTCTTCTCAACTCTGGTCTCACTTTACGATCAATGCCTCTGTTGTACAATCGTTTCAATTGTTTTACAAACTTTGTGTGTATTTATCAATCATTTTAAAAATTGTAATTCAAATTACCGGACAATTGATTGCCACAAATGGCTGTTTTGTCTAAAGAGTTGGAAATCACATCCATTTCATACAATTCTGGCGATCGTTTCACTCGATTCCTAACATTCACTGGACTTTTGGTTAACGAATATATTTGCGAATCAATCTCTAAAATACCGGTCTGTTTAACAAAATAAGTTTAATTTTAAAAACACTTATAATTATTATGATTTTATTTTGTAAAATAACAATTTTATAAACCATTTGATCATAATTATGACAAATCGATAAAATAGCGGTTCCTCTTATTTGATGGTTAATATGAATATTGCCATTAAATATACACCTTTTATCCGCAATTTATATATATTTATCATAATTTAATAAATAATTTTGAACAAAGATATTAAGTGTTAAATTTAATGCTATATTAATTTCAATGAGTTTGTGCGAATAATTGGCAAAAATAATTACTGGACTCATAGTCTGTTTATTAAAATTCATTGAATTTGTTAAATTAAAGACAACTAAGAATAATTTAATTTTAATAATTTTAATATTCTATGAGTAATAAACGATGAATTATTATTAGATGACTTATAAATCAATAACTGCAACATTCATATCAACATAAATGAACTTTTAATAAGATTTACAAAATAACAAATAATCACAAATGTAAAAAATGAACTAATAATAAGTCTGACATCACATGAAACACAACATTTTTGTGATTGAATAGTAACGCCCTTTATAAGCACAGAATCGCATTGCATGGGGCATACAGTAAGTCATTTTTGATACATTCAACTTTTTGATTGCAGTAACTTAAAGGTCTTTTATAAAAGTGATTTCATTGACAATCATTATCACAAATGTTTCACTAACAAAAGTCTAACGAAAGTTTGATTGAAGTGCAAAACTTATTATCTTCAATGAGTTCTTATTGCATACGTTTTGAAGCGAGTCTTCTCATGAGGGCTGAGAGGCATCGCTTTCACGACCTCAAGAAGTCCGCGATTTTCATTCAAAGACTGTTTAGAGCCAAACGAGAGAGAAGGGCTGCCATCAAAATACAGGTATTTTATGACTAATTCATTGCAAATTACAGTATAAACTAATGTGAGACCCATTGCTGACAGTCGTTATGGAGAGGATATACGACTCGAAAACGCATTCAAGAAACAAAAGTATCAAACACTGAGAACTTCAGTAATCGTTTGTCAGCGACTCTTCCGCGCCAACCATCTCATGAGAGTTGAGAAACAAGACTATCAAACACTGAGGTCTTCGGTAATTGTTTGTCAGCGGGTTTTCCGCGCCAATCGTCTCATGAGAATTGAGAGACAAAAGTATCAAACACTGAGGTCTTCAGCAATTGTTTGTCAACAGCTGTTTCGCGCCAATCGTCTCATGAGGATTGAGAGACAAAAGTATCAAACACTGAGGTCTTCAGCAATTGTTTGTCAACAGCTGTTCCGCGCAAAGAGACTCATGAGACTTGAGAAACAAAAGTTCAATAAATTGAGAGTTTATACGATTTTAATTCAACGAAGATTTCGATCAAACTTTAAGGACATCCGGGAGAGAAGGGCTGCCATCAAAATACAGGTATTTTATGACTAATTGATTGCAAATTATAAGCTAATGTGAGACCCATTGCTGACAGTCGTTATGGAGAGGATATACGACTCGAAAACGCATTCACGAGGAGAACGAGAAGATCGAGAAAGCCTTCCAACGGATACTGACATCGACTTCATTGGCCACCGAAGACATGCAATTAGGAAACCGAACGCATAATTCACTCCAGAAACTGCTGTCTTATGAATCACTACTACTTTTGGCCCACGATTTGGAGGCATTGGATCGCACGACACGACTGTCACCGGAATCGTGTGAAACACTTGTCTATTACGATGCCATCAGAATCCNTGAATCACTACTACTTTTGGCCCACGATTTGGAGGCATTGGATCGCACGACACGACTGTCACCGGAATCGTGTGAAACACTTGTCTATTACGATGCCATCAGAATCCTTCTTCAGATCCTCAATGAGACCAATCGCAGCGAACCTCACAAACAGATCATTGCTCTCACCGTTAATATTCTCCTCAATATCGCCAAAGTATACCAAAACACTGTCTATTCATTCATTTCATTACTAATCTATTGTTTCGTTTGTTTTATAGTACGACAAAACGTATCAGAATTTAGTTTCAAATCCAGAAACAATTGAAACGTTATTCAAAATCATCAAAAGGTTTGGTCGAAATTCTCCTCAACTTATTTGCAAATGTTTTACTCTATTATGGATTGTATTAGAAGATGAGAATATTTTCAATGTATGTTTTATTTATAGATTACGTATAAATTGAAAATAATGATTTTTGTGTTAACAGAACGTAAAGGAAGATAAGCGCAAAGTGGAGGCAATCAAACAGATTAGCGATCACTCGATGAAAGACAAGTCATTCAAGAAATACAAACTGAGAACTAATTACAAGTTTTGTCCGAATTGGCAAATCGGCAAAAGAAATGTCTATGAATTCGATAACCATTTCATTGCTATACAAGTGATGGTTCGTTGGCTCAACATATAATAATAATTGGTTTTTAATATGTTTTTTAAATTTAATAATATAATAAATGTCTCTATTTTACTGTTAATCCTATACTAATTTGTATTTTATGAAAACAACTTCACATTTTACACAATAATTATTCGATAAACTCTTTTTATATTTTATTAATAAAATATGAATATTGCATTTTAAATTAGATCTAATTTTATAATGGGCTCTATTTTATGTAATCAAAAATTTATATTCTTATAACTACTGTATTCATTCAAAAGTTATATAAACTTAAATGATGCATAAAAGATCTAGCTGATAAAATTCTGTTTAAATGTTTGCCAATCATTTCCATTATACGACACTATCTACTGAATAGTATCGGCAATACGCTTACAAATCTCGAGATCGCATATTCTGTTTGGTCACAACAACCGGTTCCCTCCAAAGCACCGGAGCTCTGGACAACAAACCAAAGACAAAAATAATTACTGGACTCACAGTCTGTTTATTAAAATTCATTGAACTTGTTAAATTAAAGGCAATTAAGAATAATTTAATTTTAATAAAATGATTCATTTTATGAAATTATTGAAATATGATTTCATGTGCAAAATATTATTTTCTTGAAATCTGAGGTTCATTTTTACAGTATATGTTACATAAATGTAAACTTTTAAAGAAATCTAAAACTCCCAAAGAATTTTTAAATAAAACAAAATTAATTATTTATCTGAAACTTGGTTTGGTTTGTAATTTCAACCAGCTTATAAAAGATTATATAAGATGCTATTAATTTAATAATTTTTCGCAATTAACTTAAATTTTAGTTTAACTAATTGTTTTGTATTTAGAGATTGGAAATACAATAATTTTAATCAACTACTAGGCCAGCAACACTGATTAAAACTGATTAATTCAATTTTGTGATCCCTTTCCTAAAACTTTATTAACTTGTTACATGCTAATTGTGAAGTCTTGAAATATACCTGTAGGCTAGTAGACCATTAGGTTTTATTTTATTTATAACTTAATTTCATAAACAATCAAAAGTTTCATTCATTTCATGTTGTAATCACTTGTATTGTTTGCCATCAGATGTGATACGGGAAGGAATCGTGTCTTTTATCCGACTCTGTATTCCAATCAAAAGCGCATTCAATTAGCTCAAGAACTGGGCACTGGTATTGCCATTTGGGAGATCGGACAGGGATTGCACTACTTCTATGATCTCCTTAACATTCCTACCATTTATTAGTCATTTTGCGAACCATTAGTGAAATTTCAAACAAATGGCATCTTTTAGTGATTAACTCTTCATATTCTGTTGGTTTCATTCAAACATCATTTAAGTATTTATCACAATATTGTCATAATTTCGCACATAATCTGTGATTAGATAATCTATAGATGATCAGAATATTGTCATAATCTGTGATAAAATACTAAATTGTATTATTATTTCAAAACGCAAACATTTTTATAACTTTCTGTATGGTTTTTATTATCTATACGTTTATCCATTCAATTACATTAAATTTTAAAATGTTTGGAAGCTTAATAAATAAATGTTTTACTTATTGAAACAAATTTAATAAAATTATATGAACTCGAAGTCGATTTACACACTCCTATGACTTACGCCCTTTGCAATACGATTCTTTGCTACAAAAGGGCTTTCAATAACTCATTTTAAATGCAGTGATTTTAAATTCCTTATAACACTAGACTCCCCTCTCATTTATACAATCACTTACCCTCTAAATATAAGTCACAGTATAAACGGGGGATTTTAATGTTCACTTGTTAATTGGCATTTTTATTGAAAACTAAGGAAATAAAACTAAATTTTTAAGTAAATTAAAAATCAGATAATTTTTCGGTCCCTTTTCATACACACACTCTGTGCTATACGTTATATGAAAAAGAATGTCTCTGGCTTTGAGGTCTAAATAAAATATGTCGTAATTTGACCAATTTGATCAAGTTCAGTAATATTCCTATTTATAATTTATCATTACATAAACTATCATTTAATAGTGTAAATAAAAATGTAATCAGTAACACATAATATGATATTTAAGTATTTTCAAAATTATTTCATAATTATATCAGATTTAATGCCATTAATTCGTAAACTGTATTGGTCATTTATGTTAAATATATTTTTGTTTGTTATAAAATGTTTGTCTAGATGATTTATAATTAATTAGTACATAATTAAAAGGTTCATATGGAAATATTAAATTCAGGCTAATTTCAAACAATATTTCTCAGAATAAACACATTGATCAGTTTATTTCAGAATTTTATTACAGGTATCAAAATGGTAAAACAGTCTATTATATTTAGTAAATAAATTATTTTCATTATAATTATTGTGTTCTTAATCGTTTACTAACGTACTATAAACATTACTTAACGATTTCTTACCTGTCATTCCCGTGACCATCGACGGTGTCTGGACAACTTGTAATATTAACAAAATTAAAAGTTAATTCAAACACAAAAAAGTATATAAAATATCAATTACTTCACAGATGTGTAGCGCATAGAGAGCAAAGTCGTCCACAATTTCCTCTTTAAAATATTCTGCAAAACGCATAAAAAATTATAAAAAATATTACTAAAGAGGGGACAAAGACCTGGTTCATAGAGATCATAGACCCTCGCCTTTAGCCAACGCGTGAGGTTCGCCACCGGAAACCAGCGCTCAATTGAGAACTCAACACAACTCCAGTTGTTGTCGAGCTATAGGTTGTAAAAGTAAAGCAAATCATAAATGACCACAAAATCAATGAAATCTCATGTCTCACGTAATCAAAGACGAAAGTGGCCGACCGGGGCATCACTTTGGCCTGACTTAGTCGGGCAACAGTACGTCCCTCTAAGTAGCGGTCGATGACAGCCTTGTTCTGCCAGTAACCGGTCGGTAGAGTCAACTCCAGGACCGCTATTCCGCTGGTATTCCTTAACCGAGTTAACGTCCATTTGGCGCAAGACTTGACTGCTATTCGCGATTTGTTTCGACCCGAAAACCTGAGGTCAACGCTGATGTCAAACGCCTGGACGGGTGGCTGAAGTAATTGGAAGTCGTGGTCGACGTTGTACTGAGTGGTCAACTGAACGATGGCCAGACCGGCGCCTTTGGCCGTTATGGTCACGAATCCCCACACATTGGGCTCAATGTTCACGATTTGCTGATCCGTCAGATTATTCTGAGACAACACTACCGGTGTTATGATCTCTGGATTAGACGAGGCCTCCACTTCGAGTCTCATATTAGTTATGGACCGGACATGGGTTCGGAACGAGAAGTCTGTCAGCGCCTGGACGGCAACTATCGTATCAAATGTGGTGACAAACCCCTCGTCGTATTGTCTCATATATGCCAACCACCTGACAATCTGGTCCTGTATTATACCTCCAAAGCCCGTGTAAATCATTAACGCATAAGCAGTCCCTAAGACATCAAACAGTTTATTAAAATTGTTCAAAGATTGATTTATTGAGAAATGAACAAGGTTTCGATCATTAGCTAAATGAATAAATGAAACTTAACTGACCCTCAACTGCGAGTGATTCGTATGACTGCGGGACACGCGGCTGAATGAATGGCCGTTGACTTTGGTAGATGAGACCCGGAGGCTATTAATCAGGATATTAATAATTATTATACAACTTTAAAATATTGACATTCAATTTATACTTTAATTTCAACGGCAGACCAATAAACCATTCCTTCTGTGGATCTCTTCATCATTTCCAACTGATTGAACCCAATCTTGGCGTCAGGACTTCCAGCAATCATCAGGGCATAGGTAGCGATGGCCACTTCATAAGGCGATGACAACCCAATTAGCTGTCTCTCCAAGAATCCGATAGCAGATTGTTTAGCGTTAGAGATCCTGACGCCTAGATCTCCGTAAACGTCCGTCACTTTGACTAATGTTATCAATACGTGGGCTGTGAGGGCGACGGGCGTCAGACGGGGCGACGACCAGTTCCGGAACGACATGTCTTCGTAGAAAGAGCCGTCAAAATAGCTGTGATCCACGATCTGACGGTTCAGCACGTATTCAACGGACGTGTGAATGACTTTGGGGTCGATATAGATTTGTCGGTTCCAGTCGTCAAACTGGGCGTCAAAGTAAACTCTGGCCGCGTAGGCCGTCAGCCATACCGAGCTCTGAGTGTAACTCATGTCAAACATAGCAAACGAGCCGTCCTTATAGAAAGTCATTTGATGGACATAATCCCTGTTCAGTGCCTCCAATAGCTGTTTAGAGAGCTCTTGTTTGTCATTGTCTTCTAATTGATTCGTAAGTCTTAAGTATATAAGAGTGTAGAGACGGTACGCAAAGTCAAAAAGTCTCAACTCTCCCGACTTTGCCGTATATTTAATGCCTAAGTTTGTGAAATCAATTCTGGGATCAAGTTTTGCGGGAACTCCCACCACATCTCCAATCACTGTCACCCATGCTTTTGGTGAACCAAACATATATCGACGGTATATGTCTTGGTATGGAATTATGGGATCTTCTGTGACATTCATATCCAAGAATTTAATAATATATGACTGGGCTCTCAGATCTAACAGCATAGATGTGTGGAGTGATACTTGTGCGCCATCAGCCAGCACTTCCACTTCTATTTCTTTTCTATCCTTTAAAACAAAATTTCCAATCGTTTTAAACAATCAAATACTAAACGGTATTTAAAATATCTGAATCAAAACAACTAATTGTAGAAAAATAGTAATACTTTAGCGACTTGTGTGCGACCAATGATTATGATCTTAATCTTGCCTCTGGTTGTGGGCACTACAGGTATGGGCACTAAGAATGAAGAATAAGGTTTTATATAAATGAGGTGCTGATGAACGCCACCCGAGGTTATGGGTGAGTACGAAGACACTCGACCCATAGGTCCCACTTCAACGAAACGATAATCCAGTGATTCCTCTAATATGATGTCTGCCTTTATTATGTTAATTAAAATCATTGAATACTTTATTTAATAAAAGCACAATAATCAACACTTACTCTTATTTCATAGGGCTGGTAGTTAAATGCAGCCACTCTTACACCTATTTGTTCCCCTAAGACAACAACAGTCGGGGCCTCAACAGTGATGAAGAAGGGACGGACACTATTCCACTATTTAGTAATACTTTTAGAGTAAGTGTCGATTTATTGTGAGAAAGTACAGAATGTATTTGTTTAAGTAGGTATTAACTCTTCGGTCACGAGACAGGCTGTGGTTAGTGTAACTTGGCGGTCAACTGACCGGAAACTCCGTGACTATTACCGACATAATTGTCGGGATTATAACTGGTGAATGTGTCAGTCCAGGCAAAGTTGTCACCATTTGCTAAATAAAAATAATTATTCCGATTCTTTCTGTAAACTATAAAATCCGAAAGTCTTGTGCCGTTTGTGTCCTCTATTTCACAGAAGTGTTCATCACTTCCATCGCTACAATCGCGGACTCCATCGCATTGTTGGTGAATCTCATAGCATTGGTTTCCAGACATACAGTTCAATGAGTAGAAGGTTGCTATCGTTGAGTCAATTCGGGGATTGATTGGACTCGATGTCTGAAATTGATTCTGAAGAGTTTGGTTGTAGTATAAGTTGGGATTACATCTATTTGTTGCCATCGAGATCTTCATATTTGTGAACACGACCAAAGTGTTGAACTAATAATACATGGAAAATGGATGTACAGTATTATTATAATTATTATTAAATCTTCATAATTATTAACAATATTTAAGCATTTTCTAGAATTTTATATTTAAATGAGTAATTTAACTTGAACAACCACCAAATTCAGAAATCATATAACTTAAAATAAAATACAAAACCTTATTTTTAATAATAATCTTATTAATTGATAATACAGTACAAACTTACTCCAAATGTGGATCCAGAATCCATGGCATTATTATGAGTCAAATAGTAGAGTGCCTTTTCATCGATGCCTTCTCTAGTTTTCAAAATCACTTTTTTCTTGTATTTTGTCTCAAACTTTCTTATTGTAATTTCTGCTTTTGCTTTTGTGATATCATTGAATCCTTGAATATCCTCTAAATCGGCGTCAATGGCGTTGAAACCAATGATTGATGCTTTGGACAGGTATGGGATGAACTCAATTATATTTCCCGATCGGTCCTGATTTAGATTCACTTTAAGCTTAAGTTTTGCCCGATTTATGCCTTCTATAGGAAGACTAACGCTATCGGCGATGATCTCACCATCTCTTGTGATGTGATATACAATGACATTACAATTGGGCGCCATTTCCGGTGAGAGCGACACCGAGAATGTGGTGACAGATCTCAACATTCCCGACACTGACTCTTCGGCGGTGACTAATATATTTCCTTTGGATACGACTAAATAGTTGAATGCCTTCATATAGAAGTTGGAGTAGACGTGGAACACCCCGTATTCGCCTGACTGCCCGCTTTCAGTACTGGTTGTGATGTAAAGCATACGATTAGATGAAGAGAAAAATGAAATGGCCTTCAGTTCCGTGTGAGCGGCGTTCCCGTCGGTGATAAACCGGGCGCTTAGAGTAAATCTATCGATATTAGGCGGGGGTTTGAGCCTGATTTTGGCCACACCATTCTCATTGAGATCTATTTTCAAACTATTGTCCACTAAATCCTTACTCAACGGTTCCATTGGACCGAAAACGGTGTCTCTGTTGAGCGCAAATGAAGGCGTTATATAAAGCTCTGAAATGGACAACAGATCTGGAGATACGGCTACGGAATCGCTGTAAGAAATGGCAATATATGTCTCAAAAGGAAGTCCAGGTTTGAAAACTGCGGGCTGACTGTCCAGAAATCTTAGTATAAGAGTCGAGTTGACAATCCGAGTCCTCGCATATCCGGTCACTATCTGATCAAAGAATCGTTCGCCGACTTCAACGAAAATAACGATTTCTTTGTTCAGGAATGGCGTCGAGAGAGTGGAGGCGAACAGATCCCTCAACTCGTATCTGAAACTATACTCTCCATTGAACTGATCGATAGTTTCGATTTTGAGGACGTCCTCAAAGATATCGTTTTCGGTAAACGAGTCATAATTATCGTAATCACCGTTCAATTGCCGCCAATTTATGTTTTTCTTTTCTGGCTTTAGTATCACTCTTATGGTTAGATTTCCCATAACTGGCAATAAGTTGGTGTGATTTGCATAGACTGTGCCCTCGATGTAGGACTCGCTCTGGGAGATGAACGCCGGCAACGAAACGCTTACATCAAGTCGATTGGTAAACCAGCGCTCAATTAGTATTTTTCTGTACATTTAAATCAATTCAACAAAATTATTAGCATTGTTTAAAATGTTAGCAAGGTAAGTGTTCGCAATGTAAATATAGCGATCATTTACTTTTCCTCAATCTGTTGGAGCGCTTTAACCCTCACTGTCCACCAGCCTCTCGGGTAATCTCCCGGTAACACAAACTGAAGGCTTACGAAACCTTTATATGTAATTCAAATAGTTTACAATTATTTCTAATTAACGGTTTCAAACTATTTTCACGCTAAGCTTAGTCGATAATTCAATTAAATGGTCATAAATAGTTATGTAATTAGTTTAATTATAATCATTGTCTAATTAGTGGTTGACTTGCCTTGAAATGAATAGATTGAGTTCCATCTCTTCATTATCAGCCCTCGAGAGTCCTTTCGGAAGAAAACCAAAAATTAGAGACAAAAATCGACTCATTTATCCGGTGGTGAAGTGAATAAACTATTCAAATGATTGCGTGATTGAGATTCAAGCGCACACTTTAGTGTAATTATTGTGAAAACAATTATTTAAGCAAATAAAGGGTCAGATATTTTTGTTTAAGTGTAATTATTGTCAAAACAATTATATAAGCAAATAAAGGGTCAGATATTTTTGTTTTTTCAAATGTAATTGTATTTATAATTTAGAGTTAATTACCAGAAGATAAATATCGATTGCATCCACGTATGGCTTCATTTCCATATTTAATAGTATTACACGAATGCTTACTATAGAAATGAAAGTTTCATATTTTTAGATTTTATATGATTTTAACTCATATAAAAATTTAATAAAATATTTTTTAAATTTCATTCAATTGTATCGTAATATCGTAATAGATAATTTTTAAAATAAAATTTTGCTATTTTAATTTGTAATTCATTTCGTGTATCTTTTAATATCAGATTTAAAATAAATCAATAGTTTTAATGTATTTTGTTAGCAACATGATTGTGGTGAATTTTCGTGTGTCACTAACAAAAATCTCAATATAAAGCTTTTATAATGTGTTACTACTGTAGTATAAGAATTGTATAGTATTATTTATTCGTGTATACTATCAAATAACAAAATTTTGTAAATTACTTATTGATTGCATTATGAATTTCTTAATTATCATCTTTGTTAATAAATAAATCTATATATTTTTTTGTGAATCCAAATGGGCTATCAAATTATTTAAATACTACAAAATGAATCAAAATGTTTTTCAGGAAATGTAGTCAAATTTATATTCAATTTATATTGTGCTTCCAATGGATACACAAATGAGCGCACCTATATAATTATATTATACTGTAGCTCATTACAAAGTACTATATATTGCACTTAAAATGATGTTTTCCTTGAATTTTAATTAATTTCATTGATATATTTTACATATTATAACATATTGTATGCAATATTATAACATATTATATTATAACATAGTTAAATGTTTTGTATATTAGTGCAATAAGAATTTTTAGTTTTCATATACCGTAATATTCACAAATCTATATTTTAAATCAATAGTAATTTCTCAAATAACTGATTAACTAATCAATTAACATATTTTAAAAATATAAATTTACACGATATTTAGTGAAAATAAGATCTCAATTTATTTCTACACTTTCTAAATAACTCAAGTGATTTGCAATAAATTTTCGTAAAATTTTTAATGAGATCATTTATAAACACTATTAATAATTAAGTGAATTATTTAGTGAAGCGCTAATTGAGTGTCGAATACGCCTAATATAATAGTAATAATAAATAAAAAGCAAAACATTTCAATACATCTGTTTTCTAGTGTACTCACAGATGTAATACGCGGGCATACATACAGAATATGTGTTTATTACATGTAACAAAACATTTTTATTTTTATTTTCTTCACACTAACTTATAATGCATTCATTGTTTATGACATAAACTTTATGCGATTGGAAAAATAATTAAATGTACTGTTCTATAAGCTTGATATTTATATAATATATAGCTTACTGGTATTGGAATCAAATATTTTTAGTACTGAATTATGTATAATATATTGTAATGTAATGTAGACTATATTATAGACTAAAGTACAGGTGTTTGACTCCAATATCAATACTTAAGGAAAACTAAGAACTAATGCTAAAAAAGTTCAAAGATCTCTGTATTATAATTAACACATCGATATAATATATTATGCATTAGAATTGAATGAAATAAATATTTTATAAAATAAAATAGTCTGTGACTTAGCATTGATACAACTTTTACCATAAAAGTAAAGAATTTGGGTACAGTAAGTGTTTGAGTGTTTGATATGACTACTCACTGGGTTGTTTCATATTATAGACCAATTGGTTGGTCTGGATGAGAATGGTTAAGAATTCTGGTAGGAATCGTAATGTAGTGTTTCTCGTGAATCCATTGCCACCACGAATCCCATTAGCATTTCCCTCGACCTTTAGTTGATAATTACCAGTTCGTGCAGTAAAGGGTATCTACAATACATAGTCCAGACAATTGTGTTAAATTGTATTCTGCTTTTTATATAATACAATATAAATGTCTTCTATATAAGCACTAAATTTTTTGTTATTTTTTGCTATTTTTATGCAGTAAAGGGTATCTACAATACATAGTCCAGACAATTGTGTTAAATTGTATTCTGCTTTTTATATAATACAATATAAATGTCTTCTATATAAGCACTAAATTTTTTGTTATTTTTTGCTATTTTTCCAATTTCCCTGTTTTTATTTAACCATTAATATAAAACCCAATTGTGTGTTGGACTCGATTTTATATTTATCGCACAGTATTTATAAGAAAAGAATTTGAATTGCATTTTAATTGTCATAATAATAATACATTTATATTGAAAAGCAATAGTACTGTACTATACTGTAATATACAGGTAGATAGTATGAGTTCACCGATCACAACGTAATGAGATCTGACTATCAATTGAATTATTTGTGACTTCTTTTGAACAAATAATGTTTAGTTTATTTGCGAGTCCTCTATCATTATATTATAATGAAATGTTTTGTTGATTTTATAGTTAATTCATTAAACAAAAACACAATGAATTCTATAACTAAAATAGGAAATGAAAATTACACTCAACTCTATAATATGATATCATAAATGAATGCATTTTTAATACAAATGCATTCTTTGGGGAGAAATTATTTCAGACAAATATTGATTACATTAAATAAATTGTGATTCAAATTAGTCGTCTTTGAAGCCAATTATGTTTTGCATGAATTACTACAGACACACAAAAAACTAAAAATAAATTACTATTTAAAATATAAATAAAAAGATAAAATCTAAGTTTTCAAATTCAATTAAAAACTCCTTCAC